CTAATGAAATGAATAATATACAAGTGATAGATATACAAGAAAACGCGAAATGATAATAAATGCAGCTGACAATCGTTATTTTTTTTTATATAGATAAAATAAAATATTTATAAATTCAAGAGACAAAACAGAAGGAGAATGAATGATGGCAAAATATCACATGACGGGAACTGAATTTTATGAATGAAGATTTTAAAAAGTTACTTGTAAGTTGTATATGTTATATCTGTGTATTCTACTTGGCTGTGTGCTTCAAAAAAAGGGGGGGGGGGGGTTCGTCTTGAACATAGTAAATAGCCATAACGTTTGAACGGTAAGTACTAGGGCTTTCGTATTTCAAATATGTAATCCTTGTGAAAAGAACTTTTATTGGATACGACGAACTTTGACCCTTCCATGGCAATAATCGATTATTTGAAAATTTTAAATGCAAGGCGCACAACTACAGATACTAATCATTAAAATAAAAAGAGTTTCATGACGAACGTTTAAGGGACCAGAGAGAACACTCTCGGACAAAATTCGTCGCTTTTTACAGGTTTCCATGGCAACGGTAGACATATTGGAACTGAACGACCTCACTGCACAACTACAACCAGTGATCGTCCTTTGAGGAAAGTTTCAGGAAGATTGCCCCAGCCATCTCCGAGAAACAGCCTGGATAAAAAAAACATGCGTACAATATCAATATGTCGTCCCCGACTTCGTTCGGGGCGACATAATAACTCCTGAATTTTTCACATCAATAACTCCTGAGTTTTCCCCTTCAGTTCGAGCATTTCTGCATTGTACAGGGCTGATGTTTCTTATGAGATGATATATCATGTGTAAACTTTCTCAGTTTAGCGGAATCGTGAACATTTTCGGCGAGATGAATGTTTTGTTTACAGTAGTGATCAAGGCTTAGCGCACCTATAGGAGCGGATCCTAGGATTTATGAATGAATAAAAACTATGGAAATAACGTACCAATTTTCTAATTTATACTTGCACTATCTAATGAAATTAATAATATACAAGTAATAGATATACAAAAAAAATGCGAAATGCTAATAAATGCAGTTGACAATCGTTATTTTATATATAGATAAAATAAAATAATTATAAAATCTAGAGACAAGACAGAAGAAGAATGAAGGTTGGCAAACTATGAAATCACATCAGGAGAACTGAATTTTATGAATGAAACTTTTAAAACGTTACTTTTAAGTTGTATATGTTAGATATGTGTATTCTAACTGGCAGTGCGCTTCAAAAGGGGGGGGGGTCGTCTTGAACATAGTGCCTTACGTTTGAACGGTAAGGGCTAGGGCTTTCGTATTTCAAATATGTAATCCTTGTGAAAAGAACTTTTATTGGACACGAAGAACTTTGACCCTTTGACCTAGACCTTGGAGAACACATGTGTACATCTTAACCTTTTTTTCTGTTTCGTTTCTATGACAACTGTGAGCGACTCATTACAATTATTTTAAAAGTAAAAATCACTTTGACACATTGCAAGGAATTAACATTGAAAGTTTCAAAACGATTGCTTGAGTAGTTATTGAGAAAATCGAAATTAAAGAATTTTAACATTCCCCTGGTTTCCATGGCAATAATCGATTATTTGAAAATTTTAAATGCAAGGCGCACAACTACAGATACTAATCATTAAAATAAAAAGAGTTTCATGACGAACGTTTAAGGGACCAGAGAGAACACTCTCGGACAAAATTCGTCGCTTTTTACAGGTTTCCATGGCAACGGTAGACATATTGGAACTGAACGACCTCACTGCACAACTACAACCAGTGATCGTCCTTTGAGGAAAGTTTCAGGAAGATTGCCCCAGCCATCTCCGAGAAACAGCCTGGATAAAAAAAACATGCGTACAATATCAATATGTCGTCCCCGACTTCGTTCGGGGCGACATAACTAGATGCGATCTCGTTGCAAGCAACGAGTAGGTCTTCCGTTCGATTTTTGATACGATCATAAAAAAATGAAAAAAAAAAGTTCATATCAATTCCTCTAAATACGTGAGAACACATTTAAGAGTGAAATCTGTAAATTTCAGACAACTTCCGGTCTTTATGATTCACTTCCGGTGTGACCAGAAGTACTAAAAATGACCTATAACTCCTCTCTGAGTGTGAAGGAATCATCCCTGATAATTTTGATGAAAAATGCTCATTTTTTGGACTACTTCCGGTTTTGAAAAAATAACTTCCGGTGGACATTATAATACTCGAGACACTCTATTTGCCTATATAAGAAACATTTAAAAAAGAAAAAAATAAAATTTTGCATATTTTTAAACTACTTCCGGTGGACAACGGACGTGACGGCAACAAAAACTTTATACAAAATTCAAGAGAGCCTGTCACAATCTATCATCCCTGAAAGTTTCAAGACTCAATCTCAAACCGTTTTTGAGAACACTTCCGGACAAAATGACATTTTAAAAAAAGAAAATTGGCCGTATCTCGCGACCGGAAGTGACGACGGCAAAATAAAAAAAAACGCCCTAAGTTCATATGATTTGCCATCATTGCTGAAAGTTTCATAAAGATCTGTCGAGGCATTCTCGAGAAATCGCCTGCACAAAATCGGTAAGAAAAAAAATAATAATAACTAGAAAGGAAACTCGTTGCGAGCAACGAGAGGTCTTCCGTCCGATTCTGACCCCCCCTCCCCCCCCTTTCGCAAAATCGAGCTGAAAAAGTGATAAAACTTTTTATGGAAACAAAGGAGATTGAACCCGGGTCGCCAGCATGGAAATATAAAGCGCTTACTGTTACGCTATTGGGACCACATCTCTTAATCTACTTGTATATTACTTCTGAAACAATTCATCTGTCTTAGAATAATGAAAGGCGGTCACTATTCATAATTTTGCGTTAAACGCCACGAGTTAATCTTCGCGCCAAACTTGCTCAAGATGATCACATCGGAACTTGTTACTTGAGTTTTAACAGTAATTTTTAGGATAGATAATCTATTAGTGATGAACAGATGATACTGTTTTCTTTACTTTATTCGATATGTGTTCAACTTTTTATTCCATGCAAAACCATATACAGGCATGCCAATGTTATATATTTCTGCACTATTGTCGCCATTTGTCTACTACTGAAGTCGGCCATGATACATTATTTCGTGCCAAACGTCACAAGTAGTTCTTCGCGCTATTCCTTTGAAATGTTTGATCTATTTAATGGATCTGATAGCTTCAATGAAAATTAGAAATGTATGTCCTTATAACCGGAATTTCGAGCGTAAGAAAGTATATTTATCACATGGTACATATATAATATCGTATACGGCCAAGTAACACTAAAGCTGTGAATTCGGTGAGATTTTCCACGAATTTTGTATCCTGTTTACCCCCAAAGTGGAGATGAGTTACACGTTCATAAAAAGACTGGAATGTTTCACTGAAAAAAGAATTCACTCGCCCTCCGACGGTCAAGGAATCTGATACTCTTCATGTTCAATAACTTGCATTTATTACAAGAATATTTATATAACCTTTAATAAACAATCTTTTTAAAAAAATGTTTTTTCTTATTTTTGTCTTTTCTATTCATTTAATATGTCATAAGACTGCGAGGTAAAATAAACAGAAGTCAAGTAATACTTCAGAAACATAGTGAATATTAAGTCAGGCAAGTTTCTTGAAAAGCTATTACTTATAACCATGGTTTAGGATAAGTTTTCCCTGGTGCAAAACAAAAGACTGTATTCATCGTATTTCCACTTGTAGTCATGTTGTATTCTACTATGAGATGCAGACAAAAGCAATTTCAATAGAAGTTTGAGGAAACCTCATATAAAAACTATACTCAATGCAACGTAATTGCGATGTAGCAATCTAAAGAATCCTTTACATTTCATAAATCTTTTTTGTAGAAGTTTCGTTCATCTAAACGCTCAGCTGACCTTCTAGAACCCGACTTGCTTAATGGCGGACTTTACGGAGACCGCCGCCATCTTGGACACGCTTCAGATTTTTAAATGCGAATATCTAGTGTGTGGATTGATCAATTCTAAAATAAATTATATATTTGGCCTTTCCAGTAGGATCTTAATTACCATTAATTATATCAAAGAAAAATATTGAAAAACAAAAAAAGTTGAAAAAGTGCTCATTTTGAATTCATTTCCTGTAGCGACCGGAAGTACTGACGACGCAAACGAAGGCAAAATTGCACATCTATAACTCATGGTCTATCATCTCTAACAAGTCTCCAGTTAATATCTTGAGCCGTTTTCGAGAACATTCGAAGACAAAATTGCATTTTAAAATCAGGAAATTGCCCATAACTTGGCACTGGTAGCGAATTTTCCAACAAACGGAATTTTATATAAAATTCATATAATGACCTATAATTCCTGAAATTATCATTGAAATCCACCGAAGAGTTTACGAGAAATCGTCTGCACAAAATTTTGTCTAAAAAAAAAGAATAATAATAAGAAACAATAGAATAACTATAAGGTCTTCCGTGAAGACGGAAGACCTTAATAATAATAGTGGAAAAGAAACAAACGAATCAGTAGAAGGTCTTCCGTTGGAAACGGAAGACCTTAATAATAATAATAATAATAAGAAACCGAGTAAAAACAATATGTTCCCAAACTCCGTTTGGGGAACATAATAAAAAGAAAATACGTGGTAATGTACATACAAATTGCTCATGATCCCATCATGTTACTAACAAGAGTTCTTGTAATCCAGAGGTTATATTTTCCAAAATTTTGCCTATAACGATGGTTTTTTTGCATCTCAGTGACTTATTATTGAACTAGTGGTGTCAGATTTAGAAAAAATGTTATTTTATTTAAAGACTATATGAGTCATCTGAGAATATATCAAATATTACAGAAATGCTCCAAATGGCTTTCCATTTTTTTAAATGTATATTTGAAACGTATCATCAATTAAAAAACGGTCTTATTATCATGTGTGCTGTATTATACGTAAATATAAACAGATATCAAATCCGTTACTGTTACCTGTAGCTTGGATGATTTTAGTGGAAATATATTGACAATCTGAAAAACAGAAAAAGACAATATTATTTCAGTCAAAGTGGTGAATTTGAAATTCAGTATAATATTACAACTTTCAAACATAAAACATACAGTCCAAACATCTTTTACAGAATAGGGAACATCTACTGAAGAAATCTTCCGAAGTTTTATCGATTGGTTTATGACAAGCACCGGTCATCGAATGGTAATATGAACAAAACAACAAGTCATCATCCCTACATACATGCTGGAGGATATCTGAAGAAACGAATAAATGGCAGGTACCAGACTCAGTTAATTTCAATTTAAATAATCAATTAGTTAATTTTAATTCAATTTAATTAGTGAAACGACGTACTTGAACAATTTACAGCTGGTGTTTCGGATGTTGTTGGCGTATATCTTAAAATGTTTTCCACCAACTCCATTTCTATCGAAGTCAGGTATGGATAATGTATTTCAAATTATTGATTAGAATTCAAGAGACAAGAAAAGTAAGAAAAATAGCTTATCAATATAAATACCTGTTGAAGTCATGTTGTTACAGAAGTCATTACTGCAGGTCTATAATTAAAATATAAACACTCAAATCATTAGTTATAAGCATCATCTGATTGTCAAGAATTATTGTAAATGTCTTTGATGAGTAATTGAATGACTATTAATTTATTTCTAAATGAACGCTAGAAAACGAAATGCAGATATTTGATGGATTTAAGTTTTGAGGAAATGCTGTTTTGAGTTTTTCGAGGCAAAAAATGTGACATTTTTTATACCTGGTGGTGAGCAGTATCATTTGAGATGTAGCTGTAGCAGCCTCTTTCATAGCTGTCCATGTGACGTAAATTAGAGCACATCTACAAATGTTTCAATAATTAAAAGAACTTAGACCTATTTCTTTATAATACTAGTAATCTGTAAATGATTTTTTGAAAAATCATGTATGAAGGAAGAATTCTTTTGCTGTGGCCTATAATTTGATATTTAGTTTTATCGACAACATTTTGTGATGAAACAAGAATTTCAGCTGTCTCCATTTCGTACGTTCTATGGTCGAGTACAATGACCTTGTCAGTGAAATGAATACAATATATCATTGAGTCAAATGCTGTCTGACGTTTTTCATACTAATTGTACATGTTAGTCCATTATTTATAAAATGAATTTACGACGGATTCTACCGTTATTTCCCGATAATGACAAGGAGCAAACGGCGGGTGTGACCGGTCGGCAGGGGATGCTTATTCCTCCATGGCACTTGATCCCACCACGTTTTGGAGGTCCGTGTTTGCTCTGCTCCTATTTTGTATTGTTTGAAGGACTTATGATCTTGAATACTGTTCGTTATCTCCATATGTTTCATATCTATAAACAGTGAAAGATTGACACTGACACTTCTTTTTCATATTTGGGTAATAGATTTTAAAAAAAGACATTTTGGGTCATCCAACAACGAAACTTTTTAATAAACGTGATGATTTCAACTTTTGAACTTCAACTTCCCTTATGTTAAGTTATTTATGTAGCTAGATGCCCTTATTTTATCATCTGCATTTTCTGTCTACCAGTTGATTTGTACGCAAGAGATGTTCTGAGTACAAAATATTTCGAAATCGATACAAACGAGAATATCAAGTCTGTTTTAAGTCAACACCTGGCAAATTCTCTTGTCGATAGAATGACCTTGCTAGCAAGTACAATATATCAATAAGCAAAATGCTGACTTTCTCAAACTGTTATGGTAGGCCGTATACGGAATTTTCCTTTAGCCCGATCAATATAAGGAGGAAGGCAGTTGTGACAGGTCGACAAAGGAATCTTACTCCTCCGTGGCACCTTATTGCGCCTCTTATGGTTTTAGGTATATGTTCTATGCTTTTACTATTGTTTATTAAGTACGAAACAAACATTAAAAAACTTTTGATGCTCTTTTTCCCCAGAATGAAGTGCTCGAAAATCCAGAAAACTGAAAGGCTTGCATTATAAAAAGACACCCCCCCCAAAAAAAAGAGTACTTGTCTGTTCAAAGAACAAAGAGTACTTGTCTGTTCAAAGAACATTTTATTGGTCAAGATTTCATGACCTTTGATCTGAAGTTTACATCTATGCAACTTACAGGAAAATAAACCTACCGTTCCAGGTTTACAAATGGCGATGACGTGAGATGTTTTGTTGAAATAGTCTTCGCCATAGTGTTTGGTATACTCGGAATAGAAACAACCTATTAGAGACGTTGTCTGCAAGATGTTTAGGTATGGAGCAACTGTGGCAAAAAAAAGAGCAGAGGCTGACTATACTATAAAGGAAGTAAAATATCAATATCTAGTACTAAACAAAACAAATATTAACCAGTTGCTGCCACAAGACAGTGATACCTACACTTAGGTGTTTATGTCTTAGTGTACTCCTATTTGGGTAACAAGGTAAGGATCCACAATAATTATAGAATTCAAAATAAAAGTTCAAATCCTAAATGAACAACTAAATGACACATCCGGACTTCTTTCAAAACTTGATTGGGCTTTTGAAAATTGTAAGTATTAGAGTTCAAGTAAATGTTTTTAATGTTTTAAAAACACACAGAAATAATTCTTGACCGGCTCCAGCGTGGAAATCCAAATTCTGAGAACCACGTTTGCTTCATAAACATAATTTTCCAATCGCTAGTCGTTCCCAAGGGTGAAAATTAACATTTTAAAAATCTTACTGCACAACCTAAAGAAACGCCCGAGCATAGTACAAAAAAAATGAATGGACTACCACGAAAAATGTGAGGAGTTCAGGGAGCCAGATTTTATGTAAACAAAGAAATCGATGACCCTTGGTCGCCCTCAGGATGAAATTTGAAATTCTGGTACTTGTTGCATATCTACAGGACACCATCAATGACATTCCAAAAGATGAGTTGACTAAAAGGGCCAGGAAGGTTATTGTAGAGAAAAACACATTTTGGCCCCCAATCTCACGCCAGGTTAAAACTGGAATTAAAATTTAAAACCTTATTGCACATCTACAGGACACCAATCATATTTCTAAAGATGAGATGGCTACTTCAAAAAATTGTACGTAATATGTTCAAAGAACCACATTTTTGTAGGTAAAACAACTGCTTTGGACAGCAATAGGGCCCCAATGTTATTCCAAAGCCTTGTTGTACTTCATAAAATACCATCAATCATATTCCAAAAGATGAGTTGGCTACAACCTACAAAGATGTAAAAGAAATTTGGGGAACCAACCCTTGGGTTGAAAGTTTTAATTTTCACACCTTGATGTCCATCATATGGATATCACAACCATGTTATTAAAAATAAGAAGAGTACGCACTGCTTAAATTGTAAGAGAAGATTAAGGACAGACAGGACTAACAACAATTCCCGAATATTCTTAAGAAAAAACAAATATATTAATTTAAAGAAATTTGTGAAGATCTAGAAAAATTGAAATTTTTATCACTTGTATCATTATCAATTGTAAAATACTTAGTGTATTCCTTGTTTTGTACATACGGTGATGTGGTTCTATGTGCTGCAAATCTATAAAATACAATGTAATTGAAGTTTTAAAAAAAGTCAGGCATTATTACTTATTCAAAAAATACCGATGGAAGTTCAGAAGTTAAATTTTATTTACTAGTATCATATTTACTTACTTATCCGGCATGCTGGGTTTATTTCAGGCGCTGTAAGAAAATTATAGAAAATAAATTTTTAAAAGAAATCGTTAAAGTGTGCTTAAAAAACATTTCAACAAAATATATATATATATTTGCAATTTTATAAATCAAATTAAATGATCTCTATATAAATAAATTTATTCGATTATACAGTATATATCAGTGCTTTAAAATTCTCACCGCAGTGTGAACAATCCAGTGTGTTGGTTTTAGCTAAAACAAAAGGCAAAATAATGTAGATGTACAGAGGTAGATCTTTTGGGGAACATAATCTAGATTGGGCCTATGAAGTTTTCATAGGAAGTTTATTTCAATTTGTAAGAATAACCACATTAAAATGCTTCTTGTGAAGGCTACTACACGAAGTACAAGGTATATGGTAACGGCAGAATCTGGTCCCTAATTTGTTGTAAAAACTAAAAATTGTGTTAGTTTGTAGTTAAAAACTTAAAATGATGCTTGCTTTAAAACCAGCACTAATTTTGATTCAAAGCTTACACAGAGGCCCCAAGAGGGCACGGAAGTTGTTCAATTCTGTTCAAATTTGAGATAGTTTTCTCTTCGGAAAACATAGAACACACGCTTGCCTATCTGAGATTTATACACATGTACATGAAATGCATCTGGTATAAGTGTTTGATATACATGAAGAACTACGAACGATAGTATTGTTCTCCCGCCTAACTCCAAGTCAGTTTTCAAAAGCAGAGATATTCGAATTATTTTTAATATCTATATCGATATCTATAGGGATTTTCATAAAACGTGGTTTATTTGGGAAAACAACGAGAGATACTAGTGATTCTAAAATTTTGTTAAAACTCGTGTTTTTCACTATAGAAATCAACGGAAAAATGGAAAATATTTTTAAAACATATTTCCCCCCGTGAAACAAAAATTCCTTTTAACGGCTAATATGGACTGTCATTTCACAAATTCATACGAAAGCTTTTTGTGTTTCACGATGGGGGACGTATGTTTATAGACAAAAAACGACAAAAATGCTAATTTTTTCAGCAATTTCTAGGTGCTTTATAAGGCGCTTGTATTATATTAATCTATGTGCTTAATTTTATATGCAGAAAACATAAGAAAAGATTTAAGAAACATTTATTTATATCCATTACTATTTCAGAATATCGTGATGCTTTATAGCCCGATTTCAGTGGACAATATCGTCTACCCCCTTTTTTTTCAAAAGCTGGAATTAGGAATATATTTTACAATTCGCACTGGTATTTAAATAATTAATCAATTACCATTAAACTATTCTTTGTATTTAACAAGTAAACGAGGTTTAATGGCCAAATTGTCATCAATATTGAATTGAATGGTTGTAAAATGTAGGCGGGAATCGAGCGTTAGCGTGCGTAGTTCTTTGGCAGATAGGCAAGCTTGTGCTCTATGTTTTCTGAAACAAAATGTACTGAAAATCAATGAAAATTTCGATAAAAATTAAAAAATTGACAGCTTTTCTTACCTCTCTATGACCTCTGTATATCCCATAACTAAGAATCAATACTAATTTTGTGTCAGTGGCGACAATAGGTTTTTGTTGATAAACTGTTGTATCATGAAAAAGACAGCCCAAATCAAGGACCAAAAAGGGGTCTTAGCCTTTCTTGTCCTTTAGATAATCGTACACTGTATGTTATCACAATTTTCATTTTTTTAAAATAAGTTTTTCTTTATATACCTTTTTCAAATATATCATTGCATGAAATGGCACCCAGCACAGGACGTGTTATGGAGACTAGGAGAGAAGCACAGACAATCAGACATGCCATCGTTATATCAAAGAACATTCTTGTACAACTCTACCAAAAAGAAGACAAGTTTGAGCCAGGAGATGAAATTACTTACCAGTTGTAATGAGGAATCCAACAACATTCATTGTTATCAGGCTGAAACACAACAAGGTTCTTTGGTATGTCATATTATAATGTGCACGTACTTGAATCTTTATCTCGTGGTCGGCGACAGAGCATTTTTTTTTTTTGCAAGATAATATAATTTTAATATATGTTAACAGTATTAATGTATTACAAACTTTAAGACTCTGACATTCACGTTAGAGGTTAGTATGAACTTGCCGTGTGAGGTTCTTATGATGGTCAATCATATAAGAACTAGATCACAGTTTCAGTTAGCTGCAGATCTGTAGCTCTCCGAAAAATATATATTGACAGACCGGAGAGCTATGCCACCCATTGAAAAAACTGTATATTTATTGCGCACAAAAAAGTGCGCTGTTTCTAGATTTATTTCGCCATGTTTTTAAAACTGCCATCTCAAAATATTACTAACCATGTGTTCCTAACATATTCTTTCACTATTTCCACAACAAAACATACCTTATAATTGCTGTTAATAGCCCTCCTGGCCCTGAAATTGAGAACATCGAAAATTTCGCTTATTTATAATGCCATTTTGGTTTGCAAGATAATTCGGTCCAACGCGCTTCGTACAGATGTAAACTAAGAAAGTACTTGACAGAGAAGTAAGGAATCTTTTAAAATCTAGCTTTTTTGCAATTGAGGTAAGAATTTGGAAGAATTAATCCAAAACCGTGCGCACTTTTTTGTGCGCAATAGATATACAGTTTTTTCAATGGGTGGCACTGTAGCTCTCCGGTCTGTCAATATATATTTTTCGGAGAGCTACAGATCTGCAGCTACTGTACAGCAGGAAATTAACTCGCGGAGTTAATTTTCGCTATATTCGCGGAAGAAGAAATTCCGCGAATATGTTATCTGTGATTCGATTCGTTAAATCTATTTGTGTTTCCGTACAAATTCAAAGGCAGTAATTTTAATACATCCGAGATGTAGACTGTCTTAATAATTATGCGGGTGTATGGATCAATTACGGATGTTTTAAAGCTTATTAATTGTTTAATTAATTTCTACAGCTAACGATTAATTTTTTCATCTAATAGACGTGCGATGTAATTATTTAATAAAACATGCTTGTTTTAATTTCACCCGTGCGTATCATTTAGTCATTGCATTTAATCAAGGCACTTAAGTTGTAAACAGAGTAAAGACAATTAATTTTAATTATGTGATTAGAAATATGATATTTTGACTACGGTACATTTTTAACTGATTTGGACTCGGAAATAGAAATTAAATCTGCGTAGCATTGTTTTGACTTCAAATCGGGATCAATGCGGCGTTTCATTATAATTCAATCGGGCTCAAAATTGACACAATATATAGACTTGCCTTGCTGTCTGATATGTGCGATATACATATACAGACTTTCTTGAGATAGAGACAAGAAATATCAGTTTACACAATATATACCTAAAGAAAAATGCTTACAAGTACTGATTAAAAACTATGAATTTTCCTTTCCGCGAATTCAAACGACCGCGATTTGCTGGAAATTGAACAAATCGCGATCTTTTCCGACCGCGATTTTAACCTGCTATACAGTATGTCATATGCAAATTTTAATTGAAAAATTCATATGTGTATGTCATATGCAAATTTTAATTGAAAAATTCATATGTGTATGTCATATGCAAATTTTAATTGAAAAATTCAAATTCTTGTAGAGGACAGTACCCTTAGGCATTCTCTAACTTGGTCCATCTGTATGATAGTCTGAAAGGAAGAGATTGCACTCTCTTTCTAACTTCTGACGAAGTTAATGCTATCTAGAGGCTAGAAATGACACTCAGAAGCAGAAACAACAATATTCTGTAAATTATTGTGAGTTTTGATGATCAATACTTTTATGGAATAAAATAAAGTTACTATGCCCCTGTTTGACAGTCTTCAATCTTTGAAAATCTTCAAGTTCAAATCAAGATTGGGTCACTTTACAGCTTTTTTGAAGGGAACAGTGTGTGTTCTCTAACGAAATGCAATAATTAATTCCTTGAGAAATGTTCAAGATCTTAGAAAAGTTATAAATTGGAATATGAATCTTTCTCTACATAAACAAGTACTATTGAACATATTAGCATGCAGGAATACCTGTATAGTAGTTGTTAATATTCACCCCCTTTGTGATAAGCTAGACACCAAATGAATGCGGATTTTGAGTACACTCAAAATGTTTGGATTTTTACGACTTACAATGTAATTATAAGTACCGGTACTTAGACTGACATATAAGCTTCGATAGGTTAAAGAAACAAATAAAAAAGAATTAATCTTTTTACGACAGAAGTCAGAACAAAACTTTATTTAAGCCAAAACATGGAATAACACACGCTTTTCTAAAGCGTATCCAAAAAATAATAACACAGACATAAATACTACAGAGCAAACATGGTAACAAGAAAATAACAAATACACTCATGATTTAACTGGATTTAAACATGTCACAAAGAATTCTCTCAATTGGAATGTTGCCAATTGTTCTCCGGAAAAAGATGTCCTCTATTGCCCGCGAACTCACATTGCACATCGCCGGAAGTTGTAAAAGTAGTCTGCCAAACCGTGTTTTAAGGAGCCTCTGGTTGATGACGTAATCATGAAGCATCATTTGGGCTTGGTCCTGCAGTGCTTCCACTTGTAGCGAATCACGAAGCCCCTTAACATCTAAAATAAAAATAAATAACATTGAATTAATGATTGAATCAAAAAACAAAGTACTAGTATACGTTCGTAATTTACCAGGCGTATAAAGAAAAAAATGTCTAAACATGTTCAAGCTTGGGAAACTGGTATACAAACATGACCGGGTTTAAGGTCGATACAAATCGATGATTTAACCACCCAAAGATTACAAGAATATCGAGTTGAATACTGAACTTCAAGAGCAATACCATCTTCCATGTTTACAACTGTTCAAGTCCTAGCCAAACACAGTGAGAGAAGTGGGGTTTAAAATAAACATAACTCGTTGTATTAAAAAAAAATCAACTAGAGAAAAAAAAATGATGACCCCCCCACCAAAAAAAGGAAAAAAATATATCGCTCCAAAGTTTTAAACTCCGTATCTCATTTCGGGGGTAGGATTAGTTCACTGAGTAAAAGGAAGTTTTTTAACTATAACGTATCAAAAAGTTAGAATGGGGGCAACAAGCTTTTCAATGCACATTAATTTTTAAACTCATTGGGGGAGGGAGGCACAACTCCCACTCAAATCCCCTACCTCAGCCTTAGTTGTTACATTGACCTATAGGTGGTAGTTGAGTGAAGGAGAAATAATTTCTCAGAACTGTATCCGTTTTGAAGTTCTCAATCTAACAGTTCAATTTTGACAAAAAAATATTGGAAGGTAAGGTGAACAAAAAGATTGAAGTGTTTTTTTTCCCTTCCATGCTGTATCTCGGCCAATTGGAGAGCTACATGTGGGAATAATACAATTAATATCAAATATTTAATGATGTTAGAATGTTGGATTTCAGCCATTCAAACATACCCGGTAACCTTTTAGTTTAGTTTTGGATGATGTAAAGCAGTCCTTTAATATAATATTGTTGCATTTGGTATAAATCAAACTAAGCACATACCAGGTTTAAACAGAAGGATAGCTTTGAGACAGGCATACTCGGTGGAGTCGACCCTGATGCTGTTGAGTCGGTAGATGATATCCTGGACCTGCCTTAACTGTACAGACATCAATGATGTCTTCTCCATGTTGGGGCCATCTAACGTGTACCCGTTAGCACTTAACAGGTAACCTGTAACATATAGAAAAGTTTTTATTTCACGTAAGAATAATGAAATTGTAATTCTTGACAGACTGACAAACTTTTGAGGCAATGTGGCTTACCAACATCTATGTTGAGGGACCATTGTGCAGCACTGAGAACAAACAGTTCACACCAAGACTCCTCCAGAAGAATAGCTTGGTCTCTGAAAGGGAGCTGGAGGAAAGATGGAATATTTCTTGCCCACTTGACAGACATAAACAAGAGTTTAGCAGCAGTCTCAAAAGTACACTCATTAGTAGAGGGACTGGTATAGAGAGCATTGTCTGTTGGTCTGTCGGTGGACTGAGGTGGCACTATCGCTGTGTTCTGATCCATAGGGCTTTTAGCTGGTGTTGCCATTTTGGGTGGGGTAAGCTGATTCTTTTCATCTACCAGAGATGTACTGGAACTCACTGGGGATGGCAAATCCATGCCTGGTCTTATATCTGTATCTATAAAACAAAATTTTTAAAAATTCATTAGCTATTGAAAAAGAAAGATTTTTAGGGGGAAAAAACTATTTCAAATAGTCTAAAAAGAATAGAATATGGTTCTACATACCCTTTTCAGGTTTGATGTCAAGCGGAAGAGGACTTGCGTCACACTGCAGTGATCTGGTATCCTGAGTGGAGTCCACTGAGGGAGAGGGTGAACGGCTGATACTTTTATCTCCTCCGTTAATAGAAGAGTTTGTGGACGACACGCTGCTGCTTCCTCCATCACTGACATCCTGGTGCGGGCGGAGACCGATATCGATGTTGCCGTTAGTGATGCTGGCAGACAGGAAGTAGTTCCTCTTTTGGTCCGGTATGGGTACCGGAAGTGTAGGGATGTATGGAGCATATCTTGGTACAGTATATTCTGGGCGATATCCGATATTCATACCGTAATTTGGAATCTGGTTGTATGTGAAGCATCTGAAAAGTAATACAAGTACACATAATTGTGAAGAGACAAAATATTTTACAGGATTACTTTTTTACCATTTCTTTAATTGTAGCACCTTTATTCATTTTTTTGGAATCTCAAAATTCAGCGGTTGATATATCATATGGTAATACATAAAAGTACATATCCAGTTCTTTTCAAAAGTTATACCTCTGTCGCTCAAACATATCTCCAATATGATGGGGGAAAGGAGTTGGGTTTTTCATGGAATCGCTGTAATGATCAGAATTATCTCTCTTGTATTGGTAACAGCGTGGGGCTCTCTCATGCTGAACAGCTGAAAAAGACATTGCTT